GGGGGGGTGAAAAATAAGAAGATGAGGAGGAGGGGGAGGCAAATGTGAAGCGAAAACGGCTTTAGATGAATTGAGAAAAGTCACCGCCACGTTGAAGGGAAACAATAAAATAATAATATATATAAAGAAAGAGCTAAGAATATGAATTACTGCAGTCACGAAAACTTTAAATCAAAATGAATTGAGAGCTTTATTTATTTTTGTAGCTCTTAATTATTTTTCACTGTTTTGTTGGGGGTGGTTTTGTTTAAATTTCATTTTCTAGCCGCGTGACTTTGCCCGATAATAACCGATGGATTTGACTATTCCTGGAGGCTGGTGGTGGTGGATGCGGGGAGGGAGGGAGAGGTTTTTCCTGTTTTAACCCCCACCTCGTAATCCCGAAGCTCACAATGTAATCCGTAACAACAACAACAATAATAATTATCATCATCATTATTATTAGCGGGGGGGGTCGGGGTTGGGGTTATTTTCGTTGTTATTTTTTTTTTTGCGACGTGGTTGGACGGCATCAACGACGAAAATGTTGTGCCGTCAAACCCCGCCACCCACCACCCAACACGGCCACTGTCCAAGTGGTGAGAGAGAGAGATAGAGAGAGAGGGGTGGGTGGTTTTGGTCTCATTGCTTGAACAGAATTGCGTCCGGTGGAGGGGGGTCCACCGCTCACGGCAACGCTTCACCGATTGCGAGCCCAACAGCTCAAGTAAAACCTTAGGGTTGCGATCGAACTTTGGTCCTGCGAGGTGCTTCTTTGCGGAGGCGAGCGAAACGTTTAACAAAAAACGTTTTCCCGTTTCGATTTGAAGCTTAGAAGGGGAAACAATAAAGTAATATAAAACAATTAAATTATTGTAAAACAATAAAATTATTCTTGGTTCTTTCGGTAAAGTCACCACCACGTTATAAGGGAAACAATAAAATAATAAAATATAAAAAATTAAATTATTGTAATATATAAAACAATAACATTATTATTCTTGGTTCTTTCGGTAAAGTCACGTCGAAGGCAAACAATAGAATAATAAAAATATAAAACAATTAAATTATTATTCTTGGTTCTTTCGGTAAAGTCACCACCACGTTAGAAGGGAAACAATAAAATAATAAAAATATAAAACAATAACATTATTATTCTTGGTTCTTTCGGTAAAGTCACCACCACGTTAGAAGGGAAACAATAAAATAATAAAAATATAAAACAATTAAATTATTGTTAAACAATAAAATTATTATTCTTGGTTCTTTGGGTAAAGTCACCACGTACAAGGGAAACAATAAAATAAAAATATAAACCAATTAAATTATTGTTGAACAATAAAATTATTATTCTTGGTTCTTTCGGTAAAGTCACCACCACGTAGAAGGGAAACAATAAAATAATAAAATTATAAAACAATAACATTATTGTAAAACAATAAAATTATTATTCTTGGTTCTTTCGGTAAAGTCACCACCACGTAGAAGGGAAACAATAAAATAATAAAAATATAAAACAATAAAATTATTATTCTTGGTTCTTTGGGTAAAGTCACCACCACGTAGAAGGGAAACAATAAAATAATAAAAATATAAAACAAAATTATTATTCTTGGTTCTTTCGGTTTAAAGTCACCACCGCGTAGAAGGGAAACAATAAAATAATAAAAATATAAAACAATAAAATCAACGACGTTTCGACCGCAACACAACAAGCAATCACCACCACTATCATCATCTTCACCACCACCATCACTGTCATCATCTTCACTACCACCATCTCTGTCATCATCTTCACCACCACCATCTCTGTCATCATCTTCACTACCACCACCACCACCATCACTGTCATCTTCACTACCACCACCATCACTGTCATCATCTTCACTACCACCACCATCACTGTCATCATCTTCACTACCACCACCACCATCACTGTCATCATCTTCACTACCACCATCACTGTCAACATCTTCACTACCACCATCACTGTCATCATCTTCACTACCACCACCACCATCACTGTCATCATCTTCACTACCACCACCATCACTGTCAACATCTTCACTACCACCACCATCACTGTCATCATCTTCACCACCACCACCATCACTGTCATCATCTTCACCACCATCACCATCACTGTCATCATCTTCACCACCACCACCATCACTGTCACCATCTTCACTACCACCACCACCATCACTGTCATCATCTTCACTACCACCACCATCACTGTCATCATCTTCACTACCACCATCACTGTCATCATCTTCACCACCACCACCATCACTGTCATCATCTTCACCACCACCACCATCACTGTCATCATCTTCACCACCACCACCATCACTGTCATCATCTTCACTACCACCATCACTGTCATCATCTTCACCACCACCACCATCACTGTCATCATCTTCACCACCACCACCATCACTGTCATCATCTTCACTACCACCACCATCACTGTCATCATCTTCACTACCACCACCATCATCACTGTCATCATCTTCACTACCACCACCCATCACTGTCATCATCTCACCACCACATCACTGTCATCATCTCACTACCACCCACCATCACTGTCATCATCTTCACTACCACCACCACCATCCACTGTCACCATCTTCACTACACCACCACCATCACTCGTCATCATCTCACTACCCCACCACCATCACTGTCATCATCTTCACTACCACCACCATCACTGCATCATCTTCACCACCACCACCATCACTGTCATCATCTCACCACACCACCACCATCACTGTCATCATCTTCACCACACACATCACTGGTCATCATCTTCACACCACCACATCACTGTCATCATCTTCACTACCACACCATCACTGTCATCATCCTCACACCACCACCATCACTGTCATCATCTTCAACCACCACCACCATCACTGTCATCATCCTTCACTACCACCCCACCATCACTGTCATCATCTTCACTACCACCACCATCACTGTCATCATCTTCACCACCATCACTGTCATTCATCTTCACTACCACCACCATCACTGTCATCATCTTCACTACCACCACCATCACTGTACATCATCTTCACTACCACCACCATCACTGTCATCATCTTCACTACCACCACCATCACTGTCATCATCTTCACCAACCACCATCACTGTCATCATCTCACTACCACCACCATCACTGTCATCATCTTCACTACCACCACCATCACTGTCATCATCTTCACCACCACCACCATCACTGTCATCATCTTCACTACCACCACCATCACTGTCATCATCTTCACTACCACTACCATCACTGTCATCATCTTCACTACCACCACCACCATCACTGTCATCATCTTCACTACCACCACCACCATCACTGTCATCATCTTCACTACCACCACCATCACTGTCATCATCTTCACTACCACCATCACTATCATCATCTTCACTACCACCACCATCACTGTCATCATCTTCACTACCACCACCATCACTGTCAACATCTTCACTACCACCATCACTGTCATCATCTTCACTACCACCACCACCATCACTGTCATCATCTTCACTACCACCACCATCACTGTCATCATCTTCACTACCACCACCATCACTGTCATCATCTTCACTACCACCACCATCACTGTCATCATCTTCACTACCACCACCACCATCACTGTCATCATCTTCACTACCACCACCACCATCACTGTCATCATCTTCACTACCACCACCATCACTGTCATCATCTTCACTACCACCACCATCACTGTCATCATCTTCACTACCACCACCATCACTGTCACCATCTTCACTACCACCACCACCATCACTGTCATCATCTTCACTACCACCACCATCACTGTCATCATCTTCACTACCACCACCACCATCACTGTCATCATCTTCACTACCACCACCATCACTGTCATCATCTTCACTACCACCACCACCATCACTGTCATCATCTTCACCACCACCATCACTGTCATCATCTTCACTACCACCACCACCATCACTGTCATCATCTTCACTACCACCACCATCACTGTCATCATCTTCACTACCACCACCATCACTGTCATCATCTTCACTACCACCACCATCACTGTCATCATCTTCACTACCACCACCATCACTGTCATCATCTTCACTACCACCACCATCACTGTCATCATCTTCACTACCACCACCATCACTGTCATCATCTTCACTACCACCACCATCACTGTCATCATCATTCACTACCACCACCATCACTGTCATCATCTTCACTACCACCACCACCATCACTGTCATCATCTTCACCACCACCATCACTGTCATCATCTTCACTACCACCACCATCACTGTCATCATCTTCACCACCATCACTGTCATCATCTTCACTACCACCACCATCACTGTCATCATCTTCACTACCACCACCATCACTGTCATCATCTTCACTACCACCACCATCACTGTCATCATCTTCACTACCACCACCATCACTGTCATCATCTTCACTACCACCACCATCACTGTCATCATCTTCACTACCACCACCATCACTGTCATCATCTTCACCACCACCATCACTGTCATCATCTTCACTACCACCACCATCACTGTCATCATCTTCACCACCATCACTGTCATCATCTTCACTACCACCACCATCACTGTCATCATCTTCACTACCACCACCATCACTGTCATCATCTTCACTACCACCACCATCACTGTCATCATCTTCACTACCACCACCATCACTGTCATCATCTTCACTACCACCACCATCACTGTCAACATCTTCACTACCACCACCATCACTATCATCATCTTCACCACCACCACCATCACTGTCATCATCTTCACTACCACCACCACCATCACTGTCATCATCTTCACTACCACCACCATCACTGTCATCATCTTCACTACCACCACCACCATCACTGTCATCATCTTCACTACCACCACCATCACTGTCATCATCTTCACTACCACCACCACCATCACTGTCATCATCTTCACTACCACCACCATCACTGTCATCATCTTCACTACCACCACCATCACTGTCATCATCTTCACCACCACCACCACCATCACTGTCATCATCTTCACCACCATCACTGTCATCATCTTCACTACCACCACCATCACTGTCATCATCTTCACTACCACCACCATCACTGTCATCATCTTCACTACCACCATCACTGTCATCATCTTCACTACCACCACCATCACTGTCATCATCTTCACTACCACCACCACCATCACTGTCATCATCTTCACTACACCACCATCACTGTCATCATCTTCACCAACACCACCATCACTGTCATCATCTTCACTACCACCACCATCACTGTCATCATCTTCACTACCACCACCACCATCACTGTCATCATCTTCACTACCACCACCATCACTGTCATCATCTTCACTACCACCACCATCACTATCATCATCTTCACTACCACCACCACCACCATCACTGTCATCATCTTCACTACCACCACCACCACCATCACTGTCATCATCTTCACTACCACCATCACTGTCATCATCTTCACTACCACCACCATCACTGTCATCATCTTCACCACCACCACACCATCACTGTCATCATCTTCACCACCACCACCATCACTGTCATCATCTTCACTACCACCACCATCACTGTCATCATCTTCACTACCACCACCATCACTGTCATCATCTTCACTACCACCACCACCAT